ATCTTCTTGTGCCTCAGTCATTTTGTTTAAAAACTCGCTCGTGCCAGACTTGGCTATGGTACCAAGGTTTTTAACCAACTCTTCTCTAGTCATTCCCACACCAGTGTCTGTGACATGCAGCAGGTTCTTCTCCTTGTCGCACTGAAAGCAAGGCAAGACCAGAGTTGCACATAATGTGATGCCAACACTGAGCCAGGCACTGACACGTATCAGCTTTGGGTCACTTCAATTCCAATGTGGACAACAAAACTATTTTCCTACATAGTATTTAGTATTTTGACTTTTCCAGAATGTACACAGCTTAAAGTACAACCATCTTTCTTTACACAGTACATTTAAAAGCTCAGTGTATTTGAATGACTATCAGTATAAAATGGAAAGAGACTGAAATGTCAAAGTTGTAAAGAAAACGATTGTTAAAAGAAATGTGGTTTTTTTTGGATAGAACACAAAAGGACTTTACACTTGCATGAATCCTGGATCTGGAATTTGTGGTGCTCATGCATGTCCACTATTCCTTTTTTTCTGCCTTCCAGGAACACAGAAGGATTGTACTTCCTCTATTCTTGGGTGGGTGAAGCCAGGTGATTAGTTTAGGCCTTGAGTTGAAAGTGCCAGCCAGGAGTGCAGCTCAGACTCAGCCTTGACTAAACTGGCGCAGAGACCCTCTGAGCTCCCTGCACCACGGCAACCAGCGATACTCCAGATGGCTGCTCAGCCAGCCTGCGTCCCAGTGTGAGAATGGGGGCGAGCCAAGGCCACAGGCAGCCTGCGGACTGATGACTGAAGCCAGGGGGTGGCAAAATTTCTGTCAAGGGCCAGACTGTAAATATTTTAGGCTATCTGAGTCATATGATCTCAGTCACAATAACTCAACTCTGCCCCGCAGCACAAAAGCAGAATAACACACGAAAAATGGGCAGTGGGTGGCTATTTGCCCTAGCAGTTAAGATGCCCATGTTTTATGTGCGGAGCCTAGGTTTGGTACCTGGCTCTGCCCTGACTCCACTTTCTGCTAATCCAGTCTTTGGGAGGCGGAGATGATGGCTCAAGTGATGGGGTTCCCGCCACCCACGGGGGAGACCTGAATTGAGTTCCTGGCTCTTGTGTTTAGCACCTGGTCTGGCCTTGGGACCACTATGGGTACTTGGGGAGTGAATCATCAAAATGTCTATTTCTGATGAAAACAAAAACAAAAAAAACCCCTACCTTAAAAAAAAAAAATGAGCATGGCTGTGCTCCAATAAAATTTAATTTCTAAAAATTTGGCTAAGTCACATTCAGTCCAAAGGTCATAGGTCACTGGCTCCTGAGGTAAGCCACTGAGACTTGGAGGTCACTTGTAAATTTGGCAAAGTCACATTCGGTCCAAAGGTCATAGGTCACCGACTCCTGAGGTAAGCTACTGAGACTTGGGGTTCACTAGTTAGTGCAGCATATCTTGAATGATGACAGAACTCTTGTACTTACCTTAATTTTGACTGTTAGTTCCTCATTTCCAGAAAGAGCTTGTTCATCAGTCAGTGATATCAGCCTTATCTTATCCAAAGCATCTGAAGCATTGGAAATCAGTTCTCTCAGGAAAATCTAAATGGAAGGCAGATTTGATAGTTACATTAGACACATAGGACACTGAATTTAATGTCGACTCTTCCTGTCTCCTCTGTACCTTGAAAAAGCACTCTTTATCCTTAAAGTCTTCTCAGGGTGGCTCTGCTCACTGGTACAAGGAGGATTAGCTCCTATACACGGGACTATTACAACTATAAGGATACCTGGACTGGAAGGAGAATTAAACACCACCCTGATTTTCCAGTAAGAAGTCCACGAAGCTTAGCGGACTGTTCAGCAGGCCAGGGCCCTGCTTGCAGGGTAGAGGACAAAGGGGAAACGTCTAACAGTCGTCCTGGCTGCACAGGTTGGTATTTCAGTTTCACTGTTCACCTGCGATTACTATTTCTTAAATGTATTTAACTGCGAAAGTAAACAAGTATGCCAATCTACAAAACAAAGTATCACCCTAACCCAGGCTGCTTACCTCTTTATTTTTATACAATGAATTGATGATAAGTTTCATCATCCTGTTAACTTCAGCTTGGAAGGCAAACTTCTCAGATTTCTCTCTAAGTTCTCGTATTTGGGATGCATTGAGTCCATCCAACTGAATGGCTTCTTCCTCTCTAAGGAAATCAGGTAGGCAAATACGGCATGCTTAGTACCTTTAAAAACACAGCCTCTGTGCTGACGGCTCAAGGGGCCCCTGAAGACTGTCCTGAGGGTTAGACGGGTAAATGGAAGCCTTCCAAGACGACCACCAAGTACCAGCTCCTCTGCTCCCAGAGGGTCACGCCGAGATTCTTAAATTGCCCAACTTGACCAAAGAGCAGTCATACCCATACCCACACTGCTCCACGGCAGAGACTCCACTGACAGAAACCCGTCAGAAAACCAGTCAGTGCACGCACTCGGCGAGTACAAACCCCACTGCAAGTCTTCTCTCAGGCCTTACAAAGCTCAAGGGGCCAGCACTCTGCACGGCAAGTCAGCAAAACAGTTTTCAAAGGAATTCATCCAAAGCTCACGCTAAGGGACTCTTAGATAATGCGCTACACCTCGCTCCTGCTAACACTTTCCTGCCCATTGTGGGAGCATTAGCTTTAACGGGGATCTCTGGAGCCCGCGGCGCTGCCGACCAGCACGGACCTCTGTACGACCTCGTCGTCCGTCCTCGACCCTTCCCTGCTCTTCCCCAGATCCTCTTCCACGGTGCCGTCCACGTCCACCTCGTCGTCGGCCCGGGCCGAGCCTGGGGGACAGCGAACACGGTCACACAGGGCAAGGGCAGGGATTGCGAAACACGCGCGGTGCACGGAGGAGGGGGAGGCGGGCCTTGCGCGGCGCCCCCACGGAGCCCCCGCGACTCGCGTGGCTCAGGGCCCCCGCCACACGTGCTGCGCGCCGCCGCGCGGGGCTCCCAAGCAGACCAAAGCCCAAATCCCGGCCTGCCCCGGCCCGGGTCACAACACGAACCAGATTCGTGCAGCCTCTGGCGAGGGGGCTTGCAATCGGGCCTGGACCCGCTGACCCCGCCGACGTCTAAGAACGGAAGCGCGCGCACGACGGAAGCCCGGAGCGGGGCGGGGGCTCCCCAGGCTGTGGCTGCGGACCGGAGCCCTCCGGGAGGGCAGCCGGGGAAGGCAGAGCCCAAGGGAGGCCCCGCCCGGGGCGGCCCCGACCGCCGGGCGCGGACCCACGCGGGCTGCGGGGGATTTAAACGACTCCGTCCTTTCTTTTCTTCCCAGAGCAGCAAGAGCGCCAACGTAGTCCCCTCGGCCTCTTTCGAGGAAAGGCGATGGCCCCGCTGGCCCGCCGCGGGCCCTGGTACCCCTCCCCAACGCCCCCAGAACCTTCGAGAAGCGGCCGCGCCGGGGGGGGGGGGGTGTCCGGGCTCCAGGATCACTCACCGAAGGTCAGCAGGACGCAGCAGAGGCCCAGCACCCACAGGGCCCTCATGGCGCGCGGCCGGCGGGTATCAGGTCCCTTTTGATCGCAGGAGCCGCCTCCACCCCTCCACCCCAGGCTCCGAGCCTCACACCTCAGGCCGCGCGGTCCGCCCACTACACCGCAAGCAGGTCAGGCCGCTTTTCACCCCCACTGCCCGCGGGCGGGGGACGGGAAACACGAATCCACCAATCGCACCGCACCACGCACCCCAGCCACCCAATGGGGACTCGCGGGGGGGACCACAGTCCGCCAATAGGAGCTGTCCAGGTGCGGTGCCCGATGCCCGAAGCGTGGCTCCCTCCGATTGGGCATGGGTAACAGCTTTTGTCCAATCACATACCTCCGCGGGCCCCTCGCACGCGGAACCGCCCCTTTGCCTGGGAAGCCTTAGCATCTAGAGGAAATCGTCCAATGAACGTAAGCTCCACACACGTCCGTCCTTTTTTGAGAGGTCGCGGAGGAAACACTTCCGGATCCTAGAGAGCGTGTATTCCGTGACCAGGGGAAACGGTAGCCATGACAACGGGTTCTTCACACTTTGGCGTCTACACCCGGGATCCCGTTGGGACCGAATCCAGCGCGACTTCCAAGTCACCTTTCTATTTGTCAGTGCTTCTCGGAGAAGCAATACGTGAGAGATTGAAACCCCCCTGAAGGCTTTCGGGTGGCTTGTTGGTGGTGAAGAAACTACATTTCCCGGCATGCCACACACCGAGGGTACGCCGTGTTGGATGCTGGGAATCGTAGTTTTTTCCTCGCGGGCTATAGCTGCGCAGTTTGGGTCTCTTCTCCCCCACTCTCCTCGCGTGTCTTTGCGGGAACTCCGTCCTGCACGTTTTCGAATTCACATCTCGTTCTGACCGCAGTAGAGATTCGTGCGTGTTGCAGGACCCCGCAGCGGACGCGCTTTCAGAAGTCGCCGCGCTTCGGCGGAGGCCGCCTCCGGCTCGGGAACGGCGGTTTCCCAATCTGGCTGCGCGTGCGTCACCGGGCACCCCAGTCTTCCTCGCGCCTGCCTGATGTGGTTTAGGGCAGGGGGCGGCGTGGGTTTCCCCCGCTCTCCTGAGGTAAACTTTGGGCGACCCGGGCAGCCCGCGAGCCCTCGCTGCAAGTCGGCGGGAGAGCACGGGGCCGCCCGGGTTTGCATAGAAAGGGAACGCCCCGCGTGCAGGAGCGCACACCTGCCAGTATTTGAAAGCAAAACCTTTCGTGGGTGGGGGAGTGGGGACAAGATAGCAGCTTTGTAACTTCGTAGAAATACCCCGGCCGCCCTCAGGGCGACGTGAAACCCCAGGTGTCTCTCCGCGGAAGTCGCCCACAGGTCTCTGGCGCCTTGGGACCACCTCTCTCGCTGTCCCTAGCCGGGCCCCTCTCCCTGGCTGCTCCCTCCTGTTTTCGGGAGATCCTCCGCATTCCTGAAGACGGGCTTCCGCAACTCCCACTCTGAACTCTGGTCGACACCTGCGCCTCGGGGGCTCCTTATTGCCCTGCTTTTGTTCCTAGTAAGCAAAAGTAGCTTACGAAGCAGGTTTTACGCTTCTGTGCTGGCATTTTTTTTTTAAAGTCTACTAGAGTGTGCATCGCATTCAGAAATCTCAAGGGTATTTCGTTGTGTTTTCACTGATTTTTTGGTCGTAGAAAATGGGTTCTTCCTCTCTTCTGGGCTTCACAGCTCAGCTCCTTCACCTTTCTCTCTACTTCTGAGCAGTCCTGAAACTGCAAAAGCCATGTGACCGGGCAGTTCGCGCTGCACCTGGAGGGAACCGAGAGTGAAATAGAGCCGCTGCGAGTGCCTGGATGTTTGTGCAGATGCTGAGAATTCACGAGGGGGCAGAGCCGCAGGCTGTGGGCTGGCCACGGCGAGACTGCCTGGGCTCTGCCGTGCTCCTAGGGGTGCGCAAGAGCGGCTTCGTGCCCAGCCTCGCCCCCTCGGGCGGTCTTCCCGCCTCTCTGACTCCTAACGGCTACCCATCCCCATTCCTGCCCTGTGCGGCTCCTCCAGAACGGGCCCTCCCCGCCTTTGGAGCTGATCTCTTGATTCTTCCTGTGGTGCATTTCCATGGATACCTTTGTTGTGGTTGCTGCTAAGCTTCCGCGTAAGCACCGCTCAGCCCAGGAGGCAGTGACCTACCTTGTATTCCGACTGGGGTGAACACCGGGTGGGCCGACAGGTGCGGTCAGTGCAGTGGGGAGCTCTCCTGGTAGGCGGAGGTGGTTCAGGGGTGGGGAGCCCGGGAGCGTGCAGGCTGGCACCCCGGAGCACTGGGATGGAGGGAGCGCTGAGGTGAATTGATGGGTCCATTAGCTGGTTCCTTCACTCGTTCACTCACTAATTCAGGGACTGTGGAGGACCTGCTGTGCGGGAAGGATCGTGCTGGGTGCTGGGAACACTGGCGTGAGCGTTGTGTGTAGTCTTGTGTTCCTGTGAAGCTTGAGCAGGTGTTACCCCTGGAGCTGCAGCTGCACACAGGTGTTCTACTTGAACTGGGGTCAGGATGTGAAGGCAGGATTGAACAGGAGAACCAGGGAAGTTTCTGGGTTGATGGAAATGTCCTTGATCTTCATGTTGTAGTGGTTGAAACTCATCAGGTTGTATACTTAGAAAGGGCGAGTTTTGTTATTTTTAAATTAGACCCCAGGCTGGCACCTTGGCGCAGCAGTTTAAAGCCGCTGCCTGCCGTCCCAGCTGCTGCACTTCCCATCCAACTCTCTGCTACGGCCTGGGAAAGCAGTAGAGGATGGCCAGAGTCCTTGGGCCCCTGCACCCATGTGGGAGACCCAGAAGATGCTCCTGGCTTCAGATTGGCCCTGCTCTGGCCGTTGTGGTCGTTGGGTGAGTGAACCAGCCGATGGAGGACCTCTCTATTTTTCTCTGTAACTTTCAGATCAATAAAATAAATTAAAAAAATTAGACACCAGTTAAAACTAACAACTGTTACTCTAAACAGCAAAATGCTGAAACCCGTTTCAGTAAGAACAAGGAGCCAGGGATGCCCACTGTGTCAGTACTGTGCCACACGCTTGAGCAGGGTCCAACAAGAAGACCAGAACATGAAGGGTGTGGCACAAATTAGAGAAGTTCTCCAAGAAATCCCTTCATGGCAAAATCTCTTCTTACCCATGACCTGATTTTATATGCCAAAAACCCAAGACTCTACCTGTAAAACAAATGGTGCACAATAAATACGAGAATCTGGTAGTCTTGCTGTAATCTTGCTTAAAAAATGTAGAAATGTGAGAAAAAAAACCCTTAATTTCATTTGTTTTGGAGGCAAAAATCATAAAATAGGAATAAGCTTAAAAGACATAGCTCCAACATGAAGAAACTATAAAATGTTGAAGAATATAAATCAAACGTGGGTCAGATTCCATACCCTATGTATAGTCTATTGCTGTGTAACAGAGTACACCCACATTTAGCAACTCAAAGTGATAAAGGTTTATAATCTCACAAGGTATCCATAGGTCAGGAATGCAGGAGCGCTTAGCTCGGTTGTTTTGGCTGAGGTTCTCATGCACTTGTGGTCAAGCTGTTGGCCAAGGCAGACAGCATCTGGTGGCAGGACTGGGGCTGGCAGATCAGCTTCCTCCAGGGCTCATCTGAGCAGGTGTGGGCCAGACCCTCGGTTCCTCACCATGCAGACCCCTCTGTAGGGCTGCCCAAGTGTGCTCACAGCGGCAGCTGGCTTCATCGGGAGTGAGTGAGCCAAGGCAGAGAACGGCTCACAAGCCACAGTGACTCATAATGAATCTCAGGTATCACGCACTCTCACAGCAGTAACCCTATTTGGTAAGAGAGGATTTTGCAAGGATTTGAGTACCAGCTGTCAGAGGCCACTGGGCCCGTTTGGAGGTCAGCTGCCACCATACCCTAGTGGCAAGGGAAGCTGGGAAAGTTTCACAAGGCGTTTTCAGCTTCTGGCACAAGAGGTGGGCCCTGAATAATACAGTGGGGATTTTCCCAGATGCTATGCATTAAAAAGAATGAAAATACTCACTACGTACTGATATTCAACTATACAAACAAGTCAGTGAAGCGGAAGAGAAAATCCAAAAATGGGTCATTTCCAGTGGATGCATAGAATGATGTTTCAATTCAGAGGGGGAATGGATAGTTTATTTAATAAATGATGCTTGCCTGTGATGGTTCTCTGTCTCTAGCAAAATGAAGTGGAACTCCTATCTTGTGCCATATAAAACAATGAATTCCAGCTTGGAAGAAAATGAGAGGACCTGCACACAGTAGAGGTGGGAGAGACCTGCTTATGAAGATGGAGCACCCAGGAAATCTAACAGAAAGCCTAGAATTAACTTTGAATTTAGAAAATGATTTCCTGGCCGGCGCCGGGGCTCACTAGGCTAATCCTCCGCCTAGCGGTGCCAGCACACCGGGTTCTAGTCCCGGTCGGGGCGCCGGATTCTGTCCTGGTTGCCCTTCGTCCAGGCCAGCTCTCTGCTGTGGCCAGGGAGTGCAGTGGAGGATGGCCCAAGTGCTTGGGCCCTGCATCCCATGGGAGATCAGGATAAGTACCTGGCTCCTGCCATCGGATCAGCATGGTGTGCCGGCCGCAGCACGCCAGCTGCAGTGGCCATTGGAGGGTGAACCAACAGCAAGGGAAGACCTTTCTCTCTGTCTCTCTCTCTCACTGTCCATTCTGCCTGTCAAAAAAAAAAAAAAAAAAAAAAGATTTCCTGCCTCTGTTCCTCTGCCAATAAAATCTCTGGGTGTGCTGACTCTCTCACAAGCAATCAGAAACCTTCAACCTGTCATAAAGTAAATTCACCCATAGTCTTGGAGTTGCCATTTTATCCTATTAATTAAACACAAAAATCTCCCCAGAGGCTGCCTTAGAAAAATAGCTCAGTTTAAAAATAGCTATCCAATTGTCTCCTGTGGGCTTTGAACCGTAGCAGAGCACAAAGGAAACAGAATTTCAAATACAGGCTTGTTAAATTTCAAATTGTGGTAAATTGGATATCATGAATGACCCGATTAGCCATATTGATGGTAATTTCTGTTGGGGATTTACAAATATTTATTTTCATTTTATTTGAAAGGCAGAGAGAGTCAGAGGTCTTCCATTTGCTGCTTCACACCCCAAATGCCCTCTGTAGCCAGGGCTGGGCCAGACTGAAGCAAGGAGCCTGGAACTCAGTCCAGATCTCTCATGTGGGTGGCAGGGACTCAAGCTCTTCAGCCATCACCTGCTGCCTCCCGGCTGCTGGCTATGGACTGGAGGAGCCAGAATTCAAACCCTGCGTTCCGCCTGTGATTTAACTGCTGCACCAAGTGTGTGCCCTTGTGTGTGGCATTTTAGAGCTGGAAAGAATCTTGGAAATCATGTAGTTCCACAATGCCTGTTTCAGTTTTAAATTATATTGGTCATTTCCATGGTTAAAAAAATCAATTGATATAGAAAAGTGTAAAGTAAAGGTATGATTTGTAGGCTTCCTCTTCCCTACTGTTCCCATTCTCTAGGGTTTATCACTGATACGGGTCTCTTATGCATCCTTCCAGAAATTTTCTCTGTGTGTATGTGTGTATGTGTGTGTGTGTGCACACATGTGTATGTACATGTATGTGTATAATTTTTTAAAATATTTGACAGGTAGAATTATAGACAGTGAGACAGAGAGAGAAAGGTCTTCCTTCCGTTGGTTCACTCCCAAATGGCCACTATAGCCTGTGCGCTGTGCCGATCCAAAGCCAGGAACCAGGTGCTTCTTCCTGGTCTCTCATGCGGGCGCAGGGAGCACTTGGAGCACTTGGGCCATCCTCCACTACCCTGGGCAACAGCAGAGAGCTGGACTGGAAGCGGAGAACCCAGCGCCCATATGGGATGCTGGTGCCGCAGGCAGAGGATTAAGCAAGTGAGCCACAGCACTGGCCCCTGTATATGTGTAATTTTTAAAAGATGTAGAACAATAGATACTAGCTTATTCCATTTACCTGTGGGGAGCAACTCGGACTAGACTAAGTTACTGGAATTAAGACTTATTCTATGCATCTGCTCTCCCACAATATGGCGCTGGGAGAGGAGGAAACAGCTTCTACGCAGCTGCCTCTTGCCAACTTGAGTGATGACCTCCAGGAGCTGATCCTGCTCCTGATTGGAGGAGAGCAGCGTACTCGGCGTGTGGGCAGCTGAGTTGGGATTGGCGGAAGAGGACTATAAAGGAGGAGAGAGACAACATGCACCAGGAACATCTAAGGGGAACATCTACCTGAAGGAACACCTGTGCAGCCCCCGAGAGAGCCGGCCGGCGGTGTGCCGCTCCCCCGCGGAAGTGGGGAAAGTGGCAGGGGGAACCGCCCTTCCACGGAGGTGGAAGAGACAGTAGCCAACCCGGGAAGAACCAGCAGCAAACCCGGGGAGGGCCGAGCAGACAAAAGAACAGCGCAGGGTCCTGTGTCGTTCCTCCACGAAGAGGGGGAGCGACATAATGGTGCCGTGACTCGGATATGAAGCCTAGGCAGGGTTTAGTGTCGTTCCTCCATGAAGACGGGGAGCGACATTACCTAGATCTTAGATGTCTTGTTCCTTTTAACCATTCCCCTATTCAGTGGGCATTTGGATGGTGTCCAGTTTGCGTCTGTCATAGCCAGTGCTGCTGGAAAGTTCTAATATATACAGATTTTTATATTTGTATAAGTTTATCTGGAAGATAAATTTTTAGTTTTGGAATAGATCAAAGAGTATGTGCATTCAGATTTTCATGGCCATTTGCTTCTGTAAAAGAGGTTATAACAGTTTATTCACACTTCTCAAGCCTGCCCTATCCTTTTTGCAAAGCTTAGAAAAATCGGAGTTTAGAAAAATTAAATGAGTTCTGGGAGTTAGTTATATAATGGCAGAACAAACTGGACCTTGTATTTAAGAAATTTGCATTGTTCTAATGGTCACATACTTCTTGGTTACTTACCTTAGAATTTTCACGTTTATTCTGTTTGTGTTTTTTCAAAAAGGTTTATTTATTTGCTTTAAAGAGTTACAGAGAGAGGAAGAGACAGAGACAGAGATATCTTCCGTCCTCTGGTTCACTCCCCAGATAGCCACAATGGCCAGGACTGGGCCAGGCTGAAGCCAGGAGCTTCTTCTGTGTCTCACACATGGATAGTAGAGACTCACACTCTCGGGCCATCTTCCATTACTTTTCTCAGGCCATTAGCAGGGAGCTGGATCAGACTTGGAGCAGTGGG